AACGTGTCGGCATCATTACCGTGAACATCACACATGCTCACATGCGAGGGTCCAGGAACTACAATTAACACATTAAGAAATAAGAACTGCCAAGGGAGCAACGAGAGATAAACAGCATGGAGCTGATGTAGCAAGAATTCTGCTTGGGAAAGGGCTGTCTCTTGGGTAACGGGCAAGGGAGAGAAATCAAAGCGCTGTGCAGCGCTACCCATTTAGCGAAGAAATCCCCCAAACCAGTTGAACAACTATTTATACATTAATTTCTTGAAATTTAATTTCACTAAAAGTATTGCTGGTTTTAAACTAGATTTTGAAGGAATCCTGTTTACAAGGCTCCTGTTTACAAAGAAATAATAATCGTGGCCTGTTTGAAAGTTTAAACTTGATATGGTTTTTGCTATTTGAAAAATTGTCCTGAAGTGCTGTGGGTTTGTTGTTTTCTTGTTCTGTTTTTTTTTTTAATAGAAGCCAGAAATATTTATTTCTTTTATACATATATTTTTATATACATATACAACAAATATTAAAAAATCCTAAAAATAATAATACTTTTTTTCCCCTGCTTAATATCCGTTTTGATTGCCCTTTTTTGTTGTTTTTTTTTTAAATGAAATTGAAAGAATTAATTCTTTTCAAAATTTTCCCAAGGATTTTTTTAATGAAAAAAATTCTTTAGATTCCAGAGTCTTTTATTTAAAGTTTCCAGTCTGAAAATGTTTTGTGTGAGTAGTCCTGCAGAAGCTGCATAATAAAAGCCTGCAAGAGCATGCCCACTATTTGGATATATATTTTCACCACTGCAATGAACAGAAATCATGGACCATGCTGGTCCTTCTGGATACCAGTCCTGACTTTTGCTATTGCTTTCAGCTGGACCAGCTGAAGGCCTTAAGACTTTATTTTTCGCTGAGATCAGAAGCCAAAGGAACACGATGGCACAGGCGACGCTTATGAAATGCTTTGTCTCGCATCTCTCCCACCTTAGGGCTGCACAGCCACAGAAAGCCCAACAAAAATCTTGCCATTATCACCCCTTTCCTACATTCACTCAAATCCCTGTGAGGGAAAATGGAGGCAGAAGAGGCACAGACACGAGGGCAGGATTAACAGCCCTGCTCAAACCCACCTTTCGGGGAGAGAAGGGCGAGCCCCTCTCCAGTTGGGGCGATGCCTGTTACCCACGTGGGGACTCAGGCGCAGGGTTTCTGTGATCCCCCATGCTGCCCCCAAGCATCGCTCATCAGTCAACTAAGACATTTCAGCAAATCACATGGCACTTTGTAAAAACATAATTGTTTTTATTTTCCAATTTTCCATGTTTTGTGCAGAGTGCTGCTGTGTTCAAGCGAAGTGAATAAAAGCATAAACAGTAAGCACCATCTGGAGAACATTCTTCCAGCACGCTGAGAAATAGCAGCCGCCTGTGCGCTACCTGCTATAAATAAATGTCATTAAAAAATGTCCAAAAAATTGTTTGTTCCTATTTGATGGAACTGCAGCCAGATAAAACTTTCCTTAACCCTGTCTTTGGGTACCTGCCATCTTCACAACAACAACAAAAAAAGATGCAGATGTTTGTTTCTCATTGCTTTATGTTAATATGGGTATCACTAACAGAATATCAACCCTAAGCGTTATTCTAATAACGGCAACAGAGGTTGCAACTTAAGAGTAACACGTGAACAAGACATTCCAAATGCAAATGTTTTTTAAACTCTTCCACGATCACAATATGGTGATATCCCTCAGCTGGCTAGCAAGACAACGGGTAAAATTATTCTTGCTCTGAACTGATAGTGTATCAGTTTGGAAGAAAAAAAAAAAAAAAAGGTAAGTCGGTAATTTATTTTCAGCCTAGCACAAAGCCCCTCCGATCTCCCTCTCTGCTGACAAAATACAGACCAAGTTGGCTGTGGGGCTGTGTGATGAGGCTCTGTGAAGGGTCGGCATTTGCTGTGTTTGTTTAATCACTGCAATTAGAGCTATGCAAATAATGAAATTGTTTGCTATGGTGGCCAGGCTGGGGGAAAAAAAATTAAAAAGAAATGTTTGGGTTGAGCAATTTAAGAACTATCTTTCTTTTTTGGTAAAATGAAAAAATAAAGCTGTTTTGTTTGTTCCACTCAGAGGGCAGCGAAGCCTTGAAAGAATCCACTCAGTTTGAAATGAAAAATACATCTTCACGCCGGAACGAAGTGTTTGAGCGTTTGACATTTTCCCTTCTCTTTTTGTCAGACAGGCATTTCCAGCACCCAGAAAGGGATGCTTAGGAGGGCTTACGGCTTGTTGGGGGAGGGAGGAAAGGATTTGGCCACCCCTGACCCGAACCTCCGACACACCTCGGGCCTTCGCGCAGCGGCAGGGCTCAGCACCGCGGCTTCCTCCCTTGAGGACAGGCCGCCGCCAGCCCTTCGCCTCTGGCGAACCCCCAGCTCTTCCCGCTCTCCCCCTCGGCGAAGCGCAGGGGGATCTTCCTGCTCTCCCCCTCGGCGCAGGGCTGGCGGGCCGCCTGCCAAAGGTACGGCGGCGGGAGCAGCAGCGGTGCCTCTTCTCGGTGACCGGCGGCCCCGCCGCAGCTGACGCACCTAAGTCACCCCACCAGTACTGGGCCAAAGCGTCACCCCACTTACACCCACACCCTTTGGAACCAGCAGCTACTGAGGCTGGCATCTGGTTCTGGGAAGAGACGGTTTTCATCTCAGGGAAGTCAGTGAAAAAATTAAAAAGCTGACAAGAACAAAAGGACTAAATCTACAGCGATTAGGCTGCAGAAAAATGAGGGCTGGAGAAGCCTCAGAGGAAATGTGACCCCGGTACCCCCGGGCACCACAAGACGCAGGCTCCTCTCAGAGGCCGGGCTGCCTCGACCCCTCAGAGAGAGGGTCTGCGCTGAAACGTCTTCCTCTTCAGTGCTTCAGGGAACACTTCAGTCGGGTTTTGGGTGGGAGGGAGGCGCGTGCATGCCTCAAGGAGGAGGCTGAAACTACCCACGGGCCTGGGAAACCGAGTACCCTGCACCGAGCACCCAGGTGTGGATGAAGCTACCGCCTTGAATCCTCCACAGCTGTAACAATTTACAATTGTCTATTAAAAACAAAAAACGACCTAAAGTCAGAACAGCCCCTGGCACGGTGTGGCTCTCCCCCGGGCAGCACAGCCCCTGCAGCCCGCATGAGATCGGGGTGTGCTTCGTGGGGCAGCACGGGGCTGAGGGAGCCGGAGTCTGATGCCGGAGGCAGCCCGAGTCCTCACTGATGAGCCACCAGTGGGAAGAAGGATTTGAAGAAATTTTAGGGATTTTTCGTTTTGGTTTGGTTTGGTTTTGTTTGTTTTTTTTAAACCTTGGATTAGTAAGTGTCATGAAGCAATGGGAGTGACTCTGCCTTGTGAAACAACATCCACGAAACCAGGCTGGGTCCCTTGACAGAGAGAGTGGCTGTGATTCCCAAGGCACAGGGTGCATCACCAGCCCAGCTCCACATCATCATTTCAGGGCAAGAGTGGAAATGATGGACATAAATCAGATTCGGTCCTTCCCTCGAGCTATGCTGCTTTCTCCAGACCGAAAGTTGTTGTACACTGGTATGTTCACAGAGCAGCTCTGCTAAAGCCTTGCTTTCGGCTGGGACTGGCCACCGCTCCCACTGGAAGCAAAGGCATCCTTCCCACTGTATTTTATTTTCTGTTTTCACAGGGACTTGGTGTGCCAGGAACTGCATGAATAGGGATGAGGGTACAGTCCCTTCCCTGAAGAAATCATCATCTCAAACCCACCAAGGGCAGGAAATGATAACGTGGTTATGGTTCCCATTAGCCATATTTTCCTAATATTTATATTTTAGCTACTTTTATTTACAGAGTCCACTCACCCTAGTTAAATGAGATACTTGGCAAAGGGATACTTAAGCTGTCTGGAAATGAAGACATTGGACTACTGGTTTTGTTAGGATGATGATTTGCCTAGATGAATAAGGTTTTCCCGGACCAGGTGTGCAGGGAAGGCAGGTGGTGGGAACATGTCTGTCTGTCTGTGCACGCACACATGCATGCGTGCATGTGTGTACGTATGGGGGGGGTGGGGTGGGGTTGTTCTTTGTTTTGTTTTTGCCTTCGGTCAAATTCAAACAATGTGCAGTAACAAGAAGTAAATGTCATTTTCCTCCCATCCATCTTAATTTGGCATCCATTTTAAAGCTTACCTTTGACCTTTTAAAATGTTAATACACTTAAGCAGATATAAAAAACACAAAGCTCCTGGAAAAATTAATCACAGCCATATCACGATGCTAGTCTAAAAATGTAACATCAGTTGTTTTCCTCTTTAATTTTAAGAAACATTTGTCCGATGCAGCAGCAGTTACTATGCTACAATTAGCTATTACTTCCTTTTGAAACAAATATCCACATTAAATGCTATAGCAAAACCCCATCAGCATAACCAGCACAACCTACTACAAATTTGTTTTGCTGGGTAACGGCCTGGAACAGCAGAAAAGGTCCTGAAAAGGACCTTGAGAAGTTGCCTAACCCATCCCTCTGCCCCAGGCAGGACCAGCTATATCTAAACCATTCCTGACAGGAAACCTTATTTAGACTTCCTTAAAGCAGCAGCCTTAAATAGAACAGGAAAAAACTGCATAAATAAAAATATATAATATAAATATGAAAAGAATTCATATATGTGCACTATGTATACAAATATGAAAATACAAAGAGACAACCCTGACCTAAATGATAACTCTCCCACCTCTGACCACTTCATACCCTTTAACCAAAGAGTTCAAAACAGGAAACTCTTAATAAAAACACCTCCTTCCTTTTTAAAAATAAAAGGCTGCTTGCTTGAGAACCTTAGCCCCTTGGAAATGCAGCAGCACCTCTTCTCAAGAAAAGCAGTTTCAGAAGCACCAGGTCCCAAACTATTTGGGCCTTTATGCTTCAAAGCAAAGAGCTCTTCAGTTCCACCAGAAAGCAAACAGAAAGCAAGAGTGTTGACCCACCTCTCCAGTAACCAAAGCAAATCCAAGATATCTGGAGCCTGTTCATGATCAAGGGCATCCATCTCGTTTGTTGACTTAACCGTTTCAGGTGGCAGGCTGTACCAGGTCCCTCTGGGATCGTCATTGCACAGCTCTGCGGTTACACACTACGAACATGGGGATCCATGGCACACAGCCATACGCTGCTTTCACTTTCTCTTCTGTAGCACCTGACGGCATCTGGGGCTACCCCCATCAATTTAATAACCCCCTTTAGAAGACAGAAAGCTATGGTGACAGCCAAAATGTATCCTAAAATACAAGTGATGGTTTCATGGCTAAACACAGCTGCTACCCAACCATTCAAAAAAAAAATCACTTAAGGACCTAAATGGCAAACCCAACGCAAAGGCACATGCATTCCGTCAGTGAGTGGGGAAATATAACTCCTTGCAACTGCTTTCTTCCACCTACCAACATTACTTTGGTTACAGCATAACAGCAAGGCTCTTCCGTGCATTCCTTCTTCTAGGATACACTTGTGCAAGTACACGTGCATGCGTGTGCCTGTGTATATATGTATTTATATCTACACACTACATGCTCTCTCTAGTAGAAAGTATCCTGTGCCAAAGGGACCCTTTGCTGTCACACCAGAAGACCCTCCAGGGCTGCAGACCCATGCTTCCACTGATCTTCTGGGTGAAGCCATCTGATCCACCCGCTCTCCCATGGGCCTTGTGGGGAACTCTCCCCCAAGGCCAGGCATCTCAGATAGCAGGTCCAACGGGCTTGGCACCTGCAACAACTGTCTCTGAGGACCCCAATGACAGCTGCCCAAGACAGTAACACAGACAAGATTCTTCCAAACAAGGAATGATCCTTCTCATTTTCTTCCCTGGAAAGTACACAACACTTTGGGGGGGGGGGGGGGG